TACATTCGTCATTACTGCTTTTACATTCGCAGAAAAATAACGAACATGATTTTGGAGCGTTTATTAAGTAACGCTTGAGTTCTCCGAGATCAGATTTCGCGGTCTACTTCTCCGCCCTCTTGCTTCCAGTTGTCTATGGAGACCCTTTAAGCGGGTGACGGATGTGTGGCATTTGAGCACCTGCAGTGCCAGATGTATCTGGTGTCATTTCATTCTCTTGAACTACCTCGCTGCCATTTGTTCTTGCCGACAGTTTGCTTCGTAAACTGGCCGATAGCCGTTTCCTATCTCGGCAGCTTTCCTTGAAAAGCGCCGCGTGTTTATTTGTCTTCTTCCTGTAGAGCCGATTATTTCGGCTAACATAAAACATGTGTAAACAAATAGGGTTGCATCCGTCATTTTCAACAGGAAGTACTGTCAAATAAAACCAGCCTTTTCACTTTATGCTATCGTAAGCAAAGCAAATCTGGTAATTTGCTGACATATCGGAATTCGGCGTCGTTCCTGGAATGCCGCATGGGCGCATTTGCTGCCGGTCTTTCAAGCGAACCCTGCTCAGGAGTTGTTGACGTGAGTACAGTTTGCTCTGTTTATTTGCTCGAGCAGCGTGGCTTACGCTCATCACGAAGCCCACCTCTACCGAAGGCATGCCGATGACATTCCGCTGTGCAAAGTTATGTCATGTGACTGAGTTCACCCCCCCTCCCGCCTTTCGCTGTCGCCTCCAAGTTGACAGGAGTGGCGATGCAGTCACTTGTGGCCAACGCCGCGTCCTGTCGTAGCCTTGGAAAGTATACGGACTACAGTACTGTTTGCTAAGCTGTTTGCAACGGTGGTTCATTTCGGTGGTGGCCTCCGATGTGAGTATCCACCATCAAGGATTCGTTGTTGTTTGTCGTCGCCCTGGGACGAGTGCTTCTGCTGTATTTTCTGCCTTTTACCGTTTTCGCCACGAGGCACGTGTGCATCATCATAACTCTGCGGTTGCCTTCACCCAGCTTCGTTTCCAATGGATAAGGGCTGCTAGCTTATGAAATGCAGAGATGCATCTCCTTCTATTTTGTTATGCGTTTCTCGTCGCCAGCTGTGTTGAAGGACCTGAAACTCTTTGTACGGTTGTTTAAATCTGTCTATATATCAGGGTTTCATTTTGTCACAATATAGACCTCAGGTCATCATATTCAGTGAAAAGAAAATTGAGGACCATGTCGAGTAGCCAAGGGGAAGGCGCATCTCCCAGACCACCTGCATGTTAACATCGAACCGTTCAGGAAGTTCTACTTCGACAGTGGCAGAAAATATGGTGGCGGCACTCATCTCTTCAAGGGTGGAAACGATTTGCTCCGTTACCCCGTACCGTTTCAAGATTTTCCATTGAACGATGATTAAACAAAATGCAGATTTAAAATCCATTTACAGATTCGCAATAATCGAGTGAAATAGCCTACACTGGTATATAGCTTTGCAGAGGGCATAAATTTTGTCATGGCAGTGCCAGTTAGAAGGCCTTCCTGATTTACTCATCTGTTGCTTCCCTTGGCTTCTCCAGATGGCCCTGGAGATTAGCATCTCGCGTGATACGGCGAGAGTGAAGCATTCGGCTAGCAGTACTTTTAAATATGGGTGCAGGTGAATATTTCCATTGTTCCATGAATTTCGGTTTTCTGCAATTGATGAAAAACGGCGGGGGAGGGCTTTCTCATCATTGCATACCAGATTCACTTTCAGAGATTCATTCGACATCGCATACCTTATTCATCCGGAAATGTGTTAAGCTGTTATGCGTACACTTGCATTGAACTCTATTGTTTACAGTGGGTGAAAGGTCGGAAGAAATCAAAGGAATGGGGTGCGTACGGAGGTGGGAGAGGTGCACATTCTATTTAATGCTGAACATGGGGCTTTATCAGTAAACAAAGTTAAGAAGTTTCCTGAATTTGCCTGATTCGTTTAATAGTCGTTACTCAGTGAGAAAGTGACAACACAAATTGTATACCAT